AGTAATTTTGTGTATTGGGTTTAATTCCAGCTCATGCATAAAGGATATCAGTGATTGGAAAAGGCCTGTAGTTGCATTGGAACATCCTGTAACAAGCACTCAGTTCCTCTTGTGGAGGGAGGTTTCTTTAAAATCATTAAAAAATAATAATAAATAAATAAAAATAAGGACAAAACTCCAGCTCCTAGGGGCTGCCATCATCGACCCAATCAATACCCGTTGGCCAGTGCTGTGTAGCCTTCCCTTTGGATATCACCATCCCCCATCCACTTTTCCTTAAATCCGATTTTCCTTTATGCACCATTGGGATTGCTATCTAGCCTGTACCACCGACTTTAACCTTTCTGGAGGCCAGCTGTGTTCAATGGAAAATTCTCTTTAGGATCAGAAGCACTGGAGAATGAAGCTGGCAGGATACGCGGGGCCATGGGGAGCCCCCGGACAGTGAGCAGGGACACGGCTCACAAGAGCGCTGTGAGAAGCGTCTAGGAAGGGTTTGCATGTGTTCACTATCTGCAGTCAACGATGCCCACAGTCCACCCAGAAGCAAACCAGAGGGTGAATGAGAAAGACCCTGATTTGCAAAGACACTCACGTGGGCTGGGTATGACATCCCACTACAAGAAGGGAAGCGTCCAGACCCTGCGACAGCCCCTGACTTCCTCTCCAACCGCACTGCACACACTCTTGGCTTATTCGGGGTGCCTCACCTCAGCCTTTTGTTCCTCCGGGGCAGAGCTTTTGGCTGAGCATTCACACAGCCGCCTGGATCGCAAGTCACCTCCTCAGAGACCAGCTCCCCTGCTTCCCCGCCCCCTCCTGACCTCTCGGGCTCCGTGGCCCTCAGAGCACGATCACCAGTTCAGTCTGTGCATGTGGCCTGACTCCCTACTGCAATGTGAGCACCACTACGCAGGAACCTGTCTGTCTTACCCTTTCACCTGTGCCCACTTGCCTAGAACAGTGCCTGGCCTATAATAAGCATGAAAACATATAAGTGGATAAATAAATCAGTAATTTTTGTGTGTGAGTGATGAGAAGTTGATAGTTTTTTAATAAATATATTCTGATGACCTACTGAACTTTTTAGCATAGAAAAGTAACCTTTCTCCTAAAATACAGTATATCTTGATTACAAGGCGTAAACACACCCCACTTAAAACTGCAAATAGCTGCTTCTTCTCAATATTTGAGTCCCTTCTCCCTTAGGACCAGAATGCTGAATTTTAGCTTTAACAAAATTCTGGCAGTTAAATGTAGTTCCCCTAAGAAGCCTACTCCTTTTCCCTCCTTTCTTTCTACTATGTGGATGTGGCTGTAAGGGCTGGTGCTTGAACAACCCTTTTGTAACATGAGGTCATGAACTACGAATGGCAAGAGAGGAGCTGGGTCCTGGACAAGCCACTGAACTGTCCTAGGTTATTTTCATGGGTAAGGAAGAAACTCCTATCTTGTTTAAGCCAATGAAATTTGAGGTTTTAAGAAATTATATGTAACAGAATTTCATCGTAATGGGAATGTGGGGATTTGTAGGTCTGAATATGATATATAATTCAACTAAAGACATGGTGGAGAGAAGCGTAAAAATAGGGGCTGTTAAGAAAACCAGGATTTTCCTAAAAGTATTTATTTCCCTAACCAATGAAAGACAGGAAAACAAGAAAAAAGGACACAGAGGATTTGTTTTATGCCTCTTTTCTGCAACAATCTGGGTTGGTATCTGGGATCATTGAGTGAGACGGGTGAACTCGTCCCAAAGATCAGCTTCAGTTTACAACATCAGTGGTCTTTGCCTTGAACCGATGGGAGGAAAGGTCTATTGATTCACAGCAAACTGAGCGATGAGGGATACTTCAGTGAATATTTTGTAAAATTACATTTGTTCAATTTTAAAAACTGTCTTTTATTCTTAAATTGTGTGTCCTTTTGGGTTAAAAATGCCTTGGCCTTTATAACAGTATACATAAATCTTTTAAAAGTCCTGTTTTAACAAAATTTAAAAGTTGGCATATCTATGTTAGACCCCCAAATCAACCAATATAACTACTAATAAAAAGCAATCCCAAGTCCAGATATTTGGATAATAACAGAAGCCAACTGAGGTTAGAATAATGATGACAGTAGCAGACTGAATTTATTATTTTACAGATACTGTTTTCATTTTATCCTTCTGCAATGAGGTATACCCCATGAGGCTTAAGAATCATTATTCTCATTTCTGCACAAAGAATCTGAAGGTTAAAGTGTTTTAAATACAGGTTTTCTTCTCCTTAGTTCTGTGCTCCTAAGAGCCTACGTATGACGATTTCATGTGTCCAATGAGCTTGGACACATCAAGTCGCCGAAGAGGTGACCTTATCGCTGTTGACTTTAGGGGTGACCACAGCACTCTTCAGGGCCACTGACGCTGCTGGCCGCCCACACATTTCCCATCGTTTTGAGTCTCCCGTTCACGTTCAGGTCTCCCATCGATTTCCATCCTAGGAATGCTCTCTGGGTCTGGTTCTTACTCCTACAGTTTGGTTTTATAGAGCCTTTCATGTCCGTTCATATTAATTCTTAGTAATTAAGAAATAACAGAAATTCTTTCAACAAACACTTACTGTCTACTATATGCCAGGCACAGGAAATGCAACAGTGAGCAAAACAGACAAAAACGTATTTTCATGGAAACTGGATTCCAGTGGGAAGTAAAAAAAAATAACACTCAGAATTAAACTATCACCCGCAATCACTTGGTGGTAACGGCTATGGAGAAAACAGCAAGGAAACAGAATAGTGTCGGGGTCACGATCTGAAAAGAGACGAGCAGGGAGGCTCCCTGAGAAGGCAGCAGGTGAGCCGAGACTGAAGCAGCAGGCCAGGGGGGCCTCCAGGGCAAAACACCGAGCCTGGAAGGAACAGCCAGTGCAAAGGCCCTGAGTCCTGCCTGGGCGCGCCTGGCAGGGAGGCCAGGGTGGCTGGGGCAGAGTCAGCAAAGGACAGTCACAGCACATGAGGGTGGAGAGCAAACAGAAAAGGAAGAGAAGACAGACTGTGTGAGGCCTTGTAAAGCACTGCACAGAACTTCGTTTTACGCTGAGGAAGATCAGAAGATGCTGGAGGCATCTGAACCACACTCGGGTTTTCAAAGTGTCACTGTGGCTACAGCGCTGAGAAAGATCACAGAGACGCACGTGGAGGCAGCAAGGCCACTAAATCAGGAGGCAGCTTAAATAGTCCAGACAAGAGATGGTGGTGGCTGGAACCCAGGTGACAATGGGTGAAGGTGGCAGGAAGTAGTCAGATTCCGAGTATTTCTAGAGAGAGCCGTCAGGATTTGTCAACGGAAGGACAGGGAGGCATGAAGGAGAGGCTGGCGGGAGGAGTGGGTTGGGGGCAGTCAGGAGTCCAGTTTTCCACGTTACGTTTGAAGTGATGATTTAAACATCCGGTTGAGGTCATCGGGCAGACAGCTGGATAAACCAGTCTGGAGTTCAGGGAAGAGACCCACGCTGCAGGTAAAGGTGGCAATCTGCCACGTGCAGACAGTTAAAGCCACAGAATAGATGAGCTCACTGAGAAGTGTGCAGAGAGAAACTCTGAGGACTGAGTCCCGGGCACTCGGATGTTTGCTGGTCAGGGAGACGAGGAGTGTGCAACCAAAGAGGCCGAGAACAAGCAAACAGGAGAGTTGGAGGGAAGCCCGGGGGATGGGCAGCCAGCAGGCCAAGGGCAGGATGAGTTCTACCTACAGCTGCCGCTACCCTCCTCCTGCCGTGTCTCCTCGTGCTTATCACTGCCCAACAGAGCAGGTCACGAATATACTGGAAGACGGGGGCGGTCAGGCAGCATGGAGAGCCTGTCGAGGTGTGAGCTAAATCCCAGTCACCTATACACAAAAGTCAACTGCCAGTTTCTGAAAGTGAGGAGAAAAATGCAGAAACAAGCTATCTAGACATGCGCAATAGAAGAAACAGCTCAAAGACAGTTGGCAACAGGACTCATGGACAGAGAGTCATAGGATAGAAACCTACTGCTTTTAAGTCATAACTTTTAAAACTCTATCTCTATGTAACTCTGACAAATAAAAACCAAGCAGTCAGAAATAAAAATGCATGAGCTAGAGGCCTAGTTCTCAGCCTTCGGGCTACAGGTATGGCCAGAAGCCAGCAACCCCACCTGCTCACCAAGTTTCATTTACATACTGAGTAGGTTGGATCTGATACATTAAGTGTCCTCTATCTTTTCAATGTAGACATCGTTTTCACCACTACAAATTAAAGGCATTCCTAAACTGTGATAATGCTTAATTACCGAAGATTTTATCGTTCTATTGATACTACAAGTACAACCACCGTTCTGTGATCATCCATATAACTTTTTAACTTTAAAAACAGTTCCTCACTTTGAGTTTAGGAGTCATTATGGGAGTTGAATTAAAGTTGTACTGGGTTATTAGATTTATTAGAATGCCTTTGTAATCAACTCCTGGAAGGCAGAGATAACCCTTCTAAATGGATGTAACTTTGTTTGCATGTCTTTCTTTCCCACTATCTGAAGTTCCTTGAAAAAAGATAATAGCGTTCTAGTAATCTCTGGACCTCTATACCTCGCACAGCTGCCAACATAGGCAACAATAAATAATAATTAACATTTTCTAAGTGCTTTACATGTATTTTCACTTAATCACTACTGTGCAGCGAGTCCTGCGGTTTCTGAAGTTGGTGATACTCGTTCCACATTGCAGATCAGGGAGCCGCGGCACAGTTATGTAATTCCCAAGGACGCAGTGAGCAGCAAAACTGGGATTAGAGCCAGACAGGGTCTCTCCAGGGCCTTAGCCCTAAATGTTCATGTAGACTATTCATAAATGTTTGTTGAGGAAATCATTGAAAGAATAAACCCAATGGCAATTTATTTTAGATAGTGATATAAAATAAAATCATCATGTTGTCTATAGATGGTACGATGGCTTTTTCAGATGGACATTTGAAAGGCTGTTTGTTTAATTATCTCACCTTTTTCTTTTTGTTCTGGATCATCTGTTTTCCTATTTGTTTCTGAAAAACAAAGACAAAACAAAATAAGTACTGTGAAAGCCACCTTTCAATATCTCGAAATATAGGACCATATTTAAATGAATTCAAATTGATAAAACTTTAAAAATATTTCTGGGCAATTTTCCTAAATCCTGAATTCTTTACACAGGACATTTGTTAAAACCATTAGATTAGACTCATCTGAGTTACTTATAAAAGGCAACAGGCGGTAACGAGGTATCAGGTGCCGGGCCACGTGTTTCTCGTTTATGAGTGGGTGTGGGTGCCTCCGCCCCTCTAAGTGCCTCTGTGAGTACAAAGGCAAACTGGGGACAGAGAAGCCCTCATCAAGGCTTGTTCAATATTATGTCTCCTAAAAATACAAGACTATAATCGACTCTGTGTACTTTAAAGGAATGTAGCATGTCACCCTACCCAGAACACAAGTCTCATTCCCTAAGGACTTCACACATAGCAGGTGGGCCGCTGCGGGCCTGCACTGAGCCCAGGTGTGCCGTGGCTCACCTGCGAGGACCTGAGATGGGCCTGGGAGCCGACCTAGGTCATCCTTTCACTGAGTTCACCCCAGTTAGTGTCTCTCCCAGAAATGGGTTACCAAGCACAGTGAAACCCTCCAAGAACCTGGACCGACCAAAGAACATGCACCCCATAGAGAACAAAACAGCACATGACCTGACCATGTATTTATAACCAAACTTCTGCATTGATAACATCACATCTGGCTTATTATTAAACATAGGTTAGTGAATTTTCAAGGTGGGCCAGTCAATTATAGTCCCATTAGGTACCTATCTAATTTGTGGGTATTTCTAGGAACACGTGTGTACACGTATGTGTTGGAGTGGGGATCCCTCCTTTTCCACAGGAGACGTGTCAGGGTGTGGGTGCAGTCCAAGGTGGGATCACTGGGTGTTCTGGTCCCGTTTCAACATTCATCCATATAAAATACCTCATGGTTTGGAAGTGAGAAGTAAATATGACACAGGCTTCTGATGCAAGGAAGAGATTTTTATTGGGTCAAGTACTTTTCTCCTGTGAGACCTGAGGTGAGAAGGGGACCGACTTTTAAAGCTGGTGCACCAGGCTTAGTGCTCAGTACATGGAATTCGTGACTGGGCCCCCAACACACCACGCGGAAAGGTCTCGCTCCCTCTCTGTGCAAAGGGGAGGCAGAGGCTGAGTGTCCAGAGCTGTCTGGTCAGCGGCTGACGTCACTTCAAAGTATATGATCTTCCTCCTGTGCCTTCTCTACTTTTCTCGAAAGAGAAACAAACACTAGAGAAGCACAGGTCTTGACTTTTGCAAACTCTGGTTTTATAAACTTGACTGCCATACACATTTTGGCCAGTGCTGAGTGCTGCAAGGAGGTATCCAGGCCATTACAAAAAAACACAAAAGCGTCTTCATCTTACTAACTACAGCCTCCTTGTCATAAAGTTAGGCAGTACACCATTTAATAGGAAGCGCTTTCATAGGCAGCAGGAATACAGGGTTAAAGAGAAGTGTCAAAAATCTCAAGGAGCTCTTTCCAGTGGTATCGGCAACGCCTGCACTTCCCCCCGTAAGCCGCTACCTGGTGGCCCGGGTGCACGCTAGAACACAGGGATGGCCTCAGGCTGGCTGGTGTTTCAGCCTGTCTGACCCTGGGTTTCCTCGTCTGCAAGCAGAGATAACACCCATCTGCTGGGAAAACAACTCCCTACCGCGAAGCACTTAGCAGAGTAAATGCCTTCAGTAAAAGTGAGTCTGTTCATCCTCAGTTTCGTTTTATTTTAATTGTTTCTTCTGGGCACATGAGAGGAGAAAACACTCTCCTGAACCGCAGAAGCTCAATGAGGATGAAGTTGGTTTCCTCACAGTGTCGTGGTCATGGGGAAACAGATGGGGAATGGGGGCAGCCTCCCCAGGGAATTACCAAAACTCCTAGGGCTGAACAAAAACCTACAAAGGATGAATACAGGGGCTATTTCACTGTAACCCTGCCCCTGGAAATATAGCATATAGTCAATGTTGAACAAAATAAATAAACATTACCTATTGAAAATAGATTAAGAAAGGGGTTGAAGACACTCCTTTGTGATTGTAGTCATAAAAAATGCCACAATATTCTAAAATACTAGTAAGTATAAAATGAACCAATTTTATTATGTAACTTATAAAAAATAATATACTTCAAAGTAATGACAATATAGAGAAGAATTCTTCTGCATTTTATTGCACTCAAATAACATTAAACATTTACATTATTTTTAGAAAATCCATTGATGTTGCCCAGCTTGGCATATATTTGTAAAGACAAGGATCATTAATTCAGATATTTGGAATTTAAAAGTATTTGAAGTTGACCACAGCATATGGAATCTTCTATTTCCAGAGTTCTAGAGAGGATTATATATATTTAAAAAATCAGTAGACTTTATTTTACTCATTTATCTGTTCTGTCACTAAGTTTCCCTAAAAAAAAAAATATATGGCTTTATAAAAAGTAATGTTCTATAATTTACAATACAATAGGAGCTTGATTAGAATTTGAGTAGCAATTCTGTATTACCCATATCACAGCTTCAGAAAATTATTGCTTTTATTAACTTAGTATTTAGGGTTTCACTACACATTGGGTCAGCATGCATCACTTACTACATTATAACTATGATCTATTATGACAAAAATAAAGAATCTCTTTTCTTTGAACCCCATAGCAGGAAAACGTCACCTTAGCTTAAAACAGTGTCAACGTAATCAAGAGCTCCCCGACACATACATGACGCCACTTCTATGGCTTTTTATAGAGTTCACGGTCCTTTCAAAAGGATATTGTAGCTGCCTCCTTTTCTAAAAGATGAATAATTCATCACAGCAACTATTTCTGAGCCGCAAATAAACCACATTAAAAACAGAGAACCTCAGGGTGCGAAAGGAAGGCTCGGGCGCTGTGGGGCAGCGGCGGCACTGGCCGGGGGCTGGCGCGTCCTGCACCAGCCCAGCCGGCGGCACCTGCTGAGATCACTGCGCGTCCCCAGCGTGGGGAGGGCATTGCTTCATCGGCCAAAGGCAGAGCAATCTCTGTTGCACACCAGGAATTCACGCAGATTTTCTAAAATTTAAACAAATACTGGCTGGACAGCTTTCTGTGATCAGTGTGAGGTGCTGAACCGCGTGTCTGTGTGCCACTACAGTAGGCCATTCCTTTTCCCTGGGTCCTCCATGGACTTTATTTCCCCCCTCGTTGTGAAAAATAAATTAACCATGATAATTTAAAACTGTCACTGAAATATTATTATTTTTTTCTATCGAACGCACTAAAAGCTACAGGACTCTCAAGTTTTGAGTTTTACCCTGAATACCTGAAGCTAGTGTAGACGTTTTGTTAAGGATATCAGTGCCGATATGTACAGCTCAAATCTTCACAGCTACTATGACCTCCATGAGTCAGGGGCGCCGAGGCAAGGTCGTCCTAACGGCTTTCACATCACGTTTCACGCGGTCTGTGCGTCAGTCCAACATAATTAGTGTCCGTTCCTAATAATATATATTAAAACCCTGCCCAGACAATAGCTGCTACATCACCAATATAATTATTAAGTGTTGCCTGAAAAACACACATTAATACAGGAAAGACCAAAGTCTGTGTCATAAAAAAATAAAAGAAAGAAAAGAAATGCAATGGATTCGCTGAGGCTACCAGGAAAGGACATGCAGGAATGTAACATTACATGTAACTTTTGTTTCTAAAAAAGAAAAAATACACTAAGATGCCAGTGGACTCTGATTCATTCAACACATCGTTAGTGTTCACTTGCAAAGACCTTGGTCTGCTCAGTAACTACTTCACAAGATCTATCGCAGCCATCGTTGGGAGCGTACGCTTAGGCTGGTCCTCCTGTGGTAGTGGGGGCAGTCTTTTTGAAGCTTTAAGTATCTGCAAAATAAGGGGAAATCTAAATTAAAGGACTAACTAGACATAGACTGTGAAACTGCTTCATTTTCATTTGACTTTAAAAACCCACCAACATAAGAAAATGTCTTTCACTTTCGTGTTAATTTAGTTTTGTTTTATAAGGGTAACTTGGTAACAGAATGATGAACTACCTGGAGAAGTTCCTGGGGTAACTGGCAAAGCTGCTGATGGAAATCTGAGCTTTTCTAGAGCATCTGAGAATTACACCTGAATTTAAGAATTTTAGTCTTTTGAGAAATACAAGCATTACTTTCTCCCATCAATGTGTCCACTGCGTCAAAAAGAAATAATAGAGAAAAAAAAATCTAGTATGGTATTTGAAAAACAAATATAGGAAAGAATTTCAAGGAGCAACTGTATACTGTAAGTTGCAGTTAAAATATATTGTTTTAAATTTTATGCCAATTTTTAATGTAAATTGACAACATTAAAGTATATAAAAATATAAAGAATCTAAAGTTCATTCCTGGCTAACTCTTCCCAAATACTTACACATTCCAAACTTTAGCATTGGATTTATTTTACTCTCACAGAATTACATTTATGTTACAAGAAGAGTAAAGAAGAAGCTGGTACACATAAAGACCACTTCTTGGTACACTTTCTAAAGCTGGGTTATAAATTCTTCCTCTCTCCCTACCTCCTTCCTTCTTATTTATCCATCCATTTATCTATCTACATAGTGTGTGTGTGTGTGTGTGTGTGTGTGTAACCAGAACTTTGTGTCTAAGCACAATTATTTTGTGCTAATGTGAAATAGAAATTATATCTAGACTTTTATATATCCAATGAAATGAGTGTTCATGGCCCTGGTTGGTGTGGCTCAGTGGTTGGGTGACATCCCATACACTGAGAGGTCGCAGATTCGATTCCCAGTCAGGGCAGATGCCTGGGTTGTGGGCTCAATCCCCAGTGAGGGGTGTGCAGGAGGTGGCTAATTAATGTTTCTCTCTCTCCCTCTCCCTTCCCCTCTCTCTCTTAAATCAATAAAAACTTATTAAAAAAAAAAAAAAAAAGAAGTGTTAATGTCCACTAAAAGACATGTACAAGAATAGTCATAGCAGCTTTCTTCACAATAGCCAAAAACTGGATACATTCTCTATTGCCATAAATGTAGAATAGATTTTTTAAACGTAGTATATTCACAGTAATTAGCAATGAATAAGACCAAATAATTTTACGTAACTAAGTGGATGAAACTCAATAACAAGATGTTTAGCAATAAAAGCTAGTCACAGAAAAAGGTATATCTGTCTGTCTGTCTGTCTATCTATCTATCTATCTATATATAGATAGATATATAGATATATATCTGTATGAACTGACTTATGGCTCTATTTAATTAAATTCAAAAGTAGGCAAACCGATCTCTAACGGCACAGTGAGAAGAGCAGTTATCTGTGGCAGGGTGTTTCTGAGGGGGCAGAGGGAGAGATGTCTGGGGTGCCAGAAGCACTCTGAGCAGTGGGCACAAGGATATACAGGTACAAGGTCATCCAACTGTGCGCCCAACATCGGTGCACTTGTCTGTGTGTAAATTATACTCAAGAGAAAGGTTTAACAACAAGTTTCCTCTAGGTTCTCTTAGAATTTATCCATTAGCTAGACTTAAGAGGAATAAGCACATCTGTGATTTGTGCACCCAAAAACACTTTGGGACTACAAGAAGCTGCTCAGAGTATAATGATATGTGGTGATAAAAAAGCAAATAAAATACAAGCTTCATTATAATTTTGAACAAATCAAAAAGGTGCTCCTGAACATGTAAAGCCTACTCCACCCAGAAGCGGCTCACCACGCTGCAAACCCAACACCTCCCAAATCAGGCCCTCAGCTCCCTGCCGCCACGCCCTCGGTCTCCTGCCTCTCCACTAGGATCCCCCTGCTCCCAGTCCAGCGGAAACATGGGGATCGCCCTCAGCTCTCACCCCGTCTGCCCCTCTCCCTTCAACGCTCCCAACTCCGTGGCCTATGCCATCAGCCCCCTACGTTGCTTCTAGCACAGCTCAGGCTCCCACCATGTCCACATCAACGCATCTGCCCTTACTCTCTCCACCTCCTTTCAGGGCCGTGCTTTTCAAATCTGAATTTGGTCATGTGACTCTTCTGTCTGGAATGTTTCAGTAGCTTCCCGTCACTTTCAGACCGAACTTCAAAACGTGAACATCACCTCTGAAACGCCTGCCTCTCCCGCCTTGTCGCTTACACCTGACCTGGCGCACCGTCCTGGTCTGTGCTCTGCAGGCACTTCCTCCCTGCGCCCTCCTGCCGGCTCCCTCACTTCCATCAGGCCTCGCAAATCAGCTCCGGCACAGCGTAAGGGCGCCCTTGGCTCACCCCTCACCCCAAACACCTGGGTTAGCTGCCCCTCCTGCCACGTGCTGCCCTGTGCTCCAGTCTGAGAAGTTAAGGACAGCACCCCGGCTGTTTTCTCCAGACACGAGGCGGGGCTGGACTGCCGGTCGTATCACCTCCTGATCATGCCCAGCAGCGCCCACCGTGGTAGCTGCTCAATCTGCATTTCCTGGATAAATGAGTGATCAAATCAGGAACATAATACGCACAGTTGGTACTATATATATAAACTGGGACCTCCCTAGCTGCCATCCTAAAGCTGCTCGTGGGCCTCAGGGATCGGTGTTAGAGCACGCGGCTGGCAGGGGAGCCGAGGAAAGTCCTGGCCGAGCGCCCGCAGCGACGTGGGCACCGCCTCCGCGGGAGCCTCCTCGGCGACGAGGTGGGAATGAAGCGAGAGCGTTTTCAGAGACACAGGAGCGGCAGAAGCACCAGCAAACACTGCTGCCCACATCCCTCTGCTCCGAATAAGCCAAATATAATCACAAAATATAAAATTCAGTTTTTTTCTCTGGCATCGAATGACAGAAAAATCTTGATGAAACCACTTTGTCAAATGATCTTAGAGTATTATTTGGAGGAAACTTTACTCTGATAAGCTTCCTAAGTGGTTCCTTCATAAATCATCCCATTGGTGCTACATATGTTTATGCTGTCATTTTGCTAGAAATACGCTGTGTAATTTCAAGTAAAAATATGAGTTGGAGGAGAAAGGTGAAAATACACCAAAGAAACAGGGATTCCTAAGTCAATTCTTTAAAATCTGGTATTCAAAATACTTGATGTCTAGTAGCAGAACGATCAGTTCTCAGGCTCGACTGTTCACATCCTTGCCAGCAAAGCACTTACATATTAACAAATATAAACAAAACATGGCAAGACTTAAACTATTGGACAACTTACTCTTCTACAATGAATCGTAATTCATCTTCAACATTTCTGAGTCCTAACTGATATACTAACATGTATTAGAAGATAAATGCCATAATATAGCTTTAGTTTTATCAGACCAACCTGCAAAATTTATTGGCTCTTTTACCTTCACGTGTTAAACCTATAGCACAGCAGCTGAAGTGAGCCCCGGAGCCAGACGGCGAGGATCAGGCTCTGCTCTCCCACTGTCGCTCTGTGACCATAGGCAGGTCGCTCTGCCTTGCTCTATGGACATTCTCTCATCTTCAAAACGGGGATAACAGCATGTCTACCTCTTGAGCAACTGGAAATATTACCTGAGTAATTCATGTAATGTGCTCAGAAGAGCACCTGGAGGATGCTGAGGAGATGTCAGCATTCAATACATCATCCCGTCGTGTGCGGCTGGACACACAGTAGGTCAGACAGTTCCTGCCCCGGACTTGTCACATCAATACATACATGACTATGAACTAAATAAGTAAGCATTAGTAAGGCTGTGTAACCTAGCCTTAGAATGACCAGGGAAGGCAAAGCAATCAGCCATTAAATTCTGAGGGCCAAGAAAAGTGGACTGATATCCAACACCTTTTGGAGCTCCTCAACTGGAGTTTTCCACTGAATAAAGGAAGCTTAAAGATTGAGAGGAAGCTGGGGGACGGGCCCTACAATTACGGTGCCCACAGTTTCTACCGCCACACACACATTAAACACTGTTACAAAGGCAGTCAGCCCCCTGTGCAGAAAGATCATGAACATAGATTTATGATTATTGGTATTTTGTAAGACTGAATAATAAAACTTTATAATACGAAGCTCAGAAACAAGTGCAATATTTAAAAGTGACTATTGCTAACTCTCGGCCTCGCACTCTCTTTCGGCAAGGTCCACCTACATCTGTGCAGTGGGTCAATCAAAAATCTGACATCAAGTTACAGGTACAACTGCTTGAGGGGGCCTTTCAGAACTGAGCTTCTCCTGATACATCTGAAAGGCCAGGCTACATAATTACTGAACAGTGGTCACCACAGCCACCATTTACTGAGAGCTTATTATGTGCAGACAGTATGCATATCAAGTCTTCACTGCTAGTGCTTGGGCAGTTAACCGTCTCATCTGAAAACCACGTTAGTGCAGCACCCCAGCCACTTGGTATATTTATGTTCCGAGGAAATTCTGGGGCTTAGTCTACAAAGCATGGAAATAAAACCATAGAACTTTTGGGTCAGAAAATATTACCTTTCACACCTTCACTAAAACTAGGTCAATATTTTAAAAATCTGAACTCCAGCTGGAAAAAAGTCAATGTTCCAGAAAAGTTATTGTTTTAGAAATACTTGGAGAACAATTTTCTTTAAAGGAATGGATAGCAATCAAAATGCAAATGCAGTGACTTGCTCGGCCCCCTCAAGAAGAACAAGGTGCTCGGTGACCCTTCACTCAACAGTGGCGAGCAAACCCCAGAAGCTGAACAGGAAACCTGCCCTACCTCGCCCTGTGCACCCCTCCTGAACACCAAATATACACGTGCCAGGGGCCACCATGTAAAAGATCAGCTTCTCCATGGACTTCTCTCTCATTCATGTTACAACGCCAACAACTCCGTTCTCTTAAGTATCTGTACGTATTATTATGAATGTACATGTTGTGACAACCACCAAAACCTAAAGCCTTCAATCATCACATAAACAAAGAAGAGCTGAAGGATCAAAATATTCTTTGATTACAAGTGTTTTTCCCCCCCTTGAAATTCAGTATTCAATAAAGTCTGGCAGGAACAATCATGTCTATCAAAATCAATAGTAACGCACATCACTGCTACAGAATTTGCATTAAGCATAATGTGAAAAATACGAGTAAAAATTAAATGAATAAATAACACAAAAAGAAAAAATGGAAATAAAACACAGAAACAAGAAGAAATACACTTGGGAAAGAAGTATTGAACAATCCTCTCTTAAAAAAACACTGTTTTCCCCACTCTGAGAGTAGGAGGTTTACAGGTCAATTTCTTTCTTTTTTTTTTTTGGTACATGCACCTAACGGGAACCGAACCCGGGACTCTCTGGTCCACAGGCCGACGTTCCAACCGCTGAGCCAAACCGGCCAGGGCTACAAGTTAATTTCTGATTGCAGGGATAGCTAACGTCATCTCTAAAATGCACTGGAAAGTACAAGCCCTGGTCGAAATGCTTTTCCCTTTCTTCACTGATGAAGAGAGGGACGTGTGGGGGAAAGCAGAGAAATGGGTTAAACCTGGAATTAAAGGAAAGACCCTGGTACAGACAAGTGTCAGCAGCCTGGGCTGCCGGGGTGCTAATGATGTGCTCAGGGAAGATGGGGAACGGGGAGGAAGAGGGTGATGTCACAAATGTATGTACCATTAAACTTTCATCTTAAGGCACTTCTGATCCCATATCATCCATCAAACAGCCTGTCAGTCCAAAAAAAGGAAAATATAAAAACCCAACTTCTACTACTACTACTGCCATGTATAATGACAAAATCACACGGAACTTAATACTCCTCAAATTCTAGATCAAATTCTGATATGTGTTTTCCCATTACTTTGAATTTTAGTTCATCTGATCAAAACACAGAAAAATTTCTTTATAAATTTAGATATAATTAATCCTTCTCTCTCACGACTTCCACACTTCATAGATTTGTTTCATTCAGCTTGTGTGAATGTCAACAGCACATTTTAAATTAAACAAAAAAGGAAAAAGCGATACATCAAACAAAATGTCACACCTGGTGGTATTTCCTGCTGCTCCTCCGCGGGGGGCACAGGTACTTCTAAAATAAATAGCAAAGTTACAATCCGTCAAGTATTGCTGACCAGTGTTGAAAAGACAGGTTGCTGGTATTCAAATTACAGTGATTACATGCACAGACTTTTTTGGTTTTCAATTGCAGTCATTAAAAAAACATTAAGTTTTTACATCATCACAACAAAGAAGAGTTAGCTATAAACTTTGCAAAATGTCGTGTATTATTTAAGTGTTCCTTAAACAGGCACAATATGATCTGCCTAACTGACTAACCTCAAACCCACCACCTAGGCAAAGGAGACATAAGCTAAAACCTGGGTTTTCACCACAATTTTCATCAGACTTGATAAGAAAGCCGAAAGAAAGGCATCCTGTTTCTTCTTGAAAAAATTTTTAACTTGTAACCTTAATTTTAATTTGAATGGGACAACACGAATAAATTAAACTGACATTGAATTTTAAAAATAAATCACTATACTTAATAAAGATTTCTGAGAAATAACATTCAAGATATCATATTTCAAGACTAGCTAAAAATGTGGACATGATTTTTAACATCTTATCTTCTCCCCTGGCTGCTTCAACCACTTACAACTAAACTGATGTAGATCTCACTGGCCAGTTGTAGAATGATAGACCGATCTACACTCACCCTATACAACACACCACACACATGTCTTCGTGTCTAACAGCCATGAGGCACTACCTTCACTGAGAGAATAGCAGCCCTCCTTCTGCTCCATAAGATCAGTAACAGGCTTTGGTGAAAAGAAGGAATTTCTAATAGCATTTTCTAAAACTCAAAATATTTATGCAGCTATTTTACTCATTTTTCTTCTGGCATTAATTTGCTACTAATTATAAGAATGATACACACTCAAAATAAAAGATTTGGAAACAGTCTATGCAACAGTAAAAAGGAAACAGAAAAAACAATCCCAGATATTCCCACTGATTACTATTCTGGAACAGTCCCTTCTACTGATGGTAGCACCTTCCGTGTTCACTAGCTCTCTGGTTTGCCTATTTATTTTGTTCTTAATAATTTAGAGACTTTACCAGTATTTTCTCCTCAGAATTTCTTTTATGTTTGTCATGTAGGTACATTTGGGAAAATCATGAGCATCATAAAGCATCACTGTTATTTCAATCAGTAAGAAAGCCTTATTATTACTGCAAGAGAAATTTCCACCGAAGTTTATCCCGAATAAATGTGCATTTAACAAACATACAAGAAATTTATTCTGTTAATGATATACTACGAGGATTTCGAAAAGGAAGTAGCAAATTAATTGTATCAGCACAACCTGAAAGAGTTGCCTAATGATACAGTAAACTTCTCTTCCTGCAGGACTTGTTAAACTTCGGTGTGGCTTTCATGCCCACTGACTCGCTCAAATAGCTTTCTGTCCTCTTTCATGTTCTTCTCTGTCGGTTCCCCTCCTGCCTCATGGTGGTTCATGCTCAACACACCTCTCGGCGTCAGGATTCCTAGCACTCAGCCTGAGACTCCGTCTTCTCTGTCCATACTCACCTCCAACATGACCTTAACCTTCCCCATGAAAGTAAACCATCCTCACAATGATGGCTCCCAAATCTGTACATCCATCTCAGATCTCACCCCTCTTGTTCAGATTGGCACATCCAACTCCCTACTTGGCACCATATCTATTGAGGTACCTCACATAATCGCCAAACTTAAAATATCCATGGAGACTTTTTCTTCCCTTAAACCATTTCTCTCTACATTCTAGTTTTCTTCCCAGTAAATGGCCCCAGCATTTGACAGGTATTCAAACCAAACCAAAGACTGCCTTTATTTCTCTTTACTTCACAACCATCGGAAAGTCCCTTCGGCTGTCATTCTAAAACAGCTCCCAAGTTCCAAACTCTCCCTCCATTTCCACAGCCATGACCTCCAGGCACGCTCTCATCCCTGGCCTGGTACCAGTCACTTCCTGACAAGGTGTCCTCTGCTTCCATTCCTGCTCCACCCAACCGGTTCTCTAACTAGAAGTAGACGTGTTCCTCAAAACACCAAGCGGAGTGGGCCCCACCTATGTCCGTGGGTCCTCCCTGCCCTTGGAACATAACCCACGCTCCTTGGGAGGTCCTCCACGGCCCTGGCCGACCTGTTCCCTGTCTTTTTATTGCTGAAGCCAATTCAAGGTTAGCTTTCTTTACCTGCAACAGAAAGGAACCCTACGAACACAGATGGGGAAGGACAGACGGGTGGAAGCACAGCACCCAGAGGCAGATCTCACTTCTGAAGAGACAGACCTTCCTGAGGCCTGGGCAAGGGGCGCTGAAGGGCAAGGGGGCGCTGAAGGGCAAGCGCATGCGTGACGAAGACGCCCTGGTCCAGGAAGACGCGGGGGCCGAACGAGGTCATCAAGCCACAGAGAAGAGACTACATCTGAGACGTGCTGAAGAAGCCTGTTCAGCAGGACTCGGGATCAGCTACAGAATCAGGGCGAGGAGAACTCAGTGATGGCTCCCACATTTCTCGCTCGGGAGTCCAAGGATATACTGTGCAGCCGGCCAGACACGGGCAGACTGGGAAAGAGAAGGCGGGGGGCAGGGAGCGGGAACGCGCACCCTCACTGTCCACTCGGGTGCAGCAGGAGCACAGGAACCGCAGGTCGGCCGAAGGTGCACCGCCCAGAGCCCCACCGTCTGCCAGATGGAATTCCCCTAACAGCCTCTGCTACGTCTTGTACTGTCTCATCAAAATGCCTGAAAAGAGGAAAGACCCAGCTTTCAACCCGTCTCTGCCCAAGGCTAATCCCTTCTCCCGAACTGTAAAGTGGCCGCCTCTGGCCTGTGACCTGAGCACTCTCCTTTGGCTCCCGGGGCACTGTACAGAGATTTAAGAGTAAGTGTTTAGTAACTATTTGTTGCATACATGAACACATTTTTATTGTGAAAAGTATAACCATCTCTATAAAATGAACTTACCTTCTAAAATTACGTTTGACTCTTCCACACCAGTATCTAAAAAAAGAACACCCAAACACATCTCACATTAACTCAGTTCCATGAGATCCCCTGAATTAACTTATATCCGCTCAGATACCCAAATCTGGCTCTTTTTAGACTAGGGCTTCTTACAGAGACACTCCCAAGTATTCATACTAGCATATCAACCTTAATTCCCAAATTATATTCAAAGAGTATATCACACAGGCTGACGTTATCCCTGTTGACATAAAACCGTAAGTAGGGAATAAATTGGATATGGACACTACCGACTACGTCCTTGGTGAAATGAAACTGTCTGTATTTCTTTTACTCCATCTCTCTTCAGCATACAGATTTTAACAAACACTAGGGGGCTGACTTGCAGGAGGAAACATCTGAAAAGAGAAAATAGCTTACCTGAGCTTTCCACCCCTTCACCTTCCGATGGTTCATATACTACAAAATACACAGAAAAAAAAGGAATCCTTTAGTACTGCGTAACTCTCACTACAATGCAAGACGATTCCAGGGCAGAGACAATGTGTAACTTATCACTGAACTCCAGGCTGTCACTGGGAAAACAGAAGCTACAGAGCCGGTGGGGCAGGGTCTGGCCTCACAGGGAACCAGCCCAGATTCAAATTCCAGGTCGGCCACTTCTTAGCCACAGGAGATGGGCAGTTTACATAGGCTTCCTCCCTGGAAAATGGGGACAATTAAGGTTCCTCCCCAATCACTTGTTTCCAGGACCTAATGCTTTGTCTGTTGCCGGCTGCACCGAATTTCCGTGTTTTACTTTCTTCATGCCTGTGGTGGAGGTTCTGAGTTACCTGAGGCTCTACCCTGCTTGTCACATGGGATCCACGTGTTCACTAGGCGGGGTCTCCACTCTGTTCAGGGAACAAGTCTCAGATCTTCCATGCGGGGCTGATACTCCTGGTGCCAGCGGCTGAGAACGAGGGCTCAGCGGGCAGGCCCTTGATTCCTCCCGCACACACCCTGCCCCTGCCCCTGGGTGCACAGGCCGGAGAGGTCTGGTTTCTCCGGGGGGGCTTCACACCCCCGGCTGGGTCACAGCCGTCCTCGTCAGCCCGATCCCCGCTTTCTCCATTTTCCAAAATTCCTCACATTTTCTCGTACACTAACAGCAAATTTTCTCGTTTTCCCAGCATGATTATCACGTTATTCTTTTTGTCCATTTAATAAAGAAAAAATTTTGAGCACCCACTATCTTTGTGATGCTATTCTCAGTGCTGGGTGGATGGAGCAAGGCACACGTTGAATGTACTGTTTTCTGTCCTTTGGCGGCATCTGTGAGCGGGAGGGGCTGTGAAGGTTGGCTCGCTCTGTCTGTCGCCCTGAACCGCCTATTTACACATGCTCAAGTCTCTACCCACTTAGAGGAAAAAGCCCTTCCTTGAGCCTGCTCCCCTGGCCTTCTCTCTCCTCCATTTCAGCCACTGGCTTAGAGTCGAGTACATCTGCTGTCTCATCTCCTCTCTCCCTCTTCTCAACCCACTCCAATCCCTCTTCCGGCCCTGACCACATCCGAAGAAGGCTCTCTAAGACCACCAACAAGCACTCTTTTTTTTTAAAATGAAAGTATAGCTGAAAAAAATATTATAGGCGTGTCAGGTGAACAAAATAGTGATTCTACATTTATGTACCTTATGAAGTGACCACCGTGAAACACCCAGTAGCCTGTGTCACCATGCTGAGTCACTGCAATACTACTGGCTATATTCTCATATTATAACTATTGGCTGTATTTTCTGTGCTGTACATTACATCCTCGTGACTTATTTTATAACTGTAAATCTGGACCTCTTACTCTCCTTCACCTTTTTCACCCTCCCCCCAGCCCTTCCCCCCGGTGTCTATGAGTCTGTTTCTGAGGAAACAAACCCCTCATTGAATCTAGTGCTCTTTCCCCCTTAACCTATCAGCTCTCTCAGCAGCTCCCTCCTGTTCAAACACTGCTGCACTTGGACGTCAATGCGACCATACTCTCCATTTGTTCCTTCGTTTCTCCTTCTCAGTCTTCTTGATCATTTCATCCTTTTCTTAACAGGCATGAAATGTCGTTGGCTTTCATCAAGGTCCAGCCACAGACCTCCTGTCGGCCCCCTCTTCACCCACAGTGACAGCGACTGACGTCTTTCCTTCCACGGTCATCTTTGTAGATATTGGAATAGAGCGGATAGCCACTGGCTCTATTATCTCATAGTCATATTATCCACATCCTCTGAACCTTATTTTTCTCACCTGAGGAGCAGCAAAAGCATCATCTATTTCATGGAGTTTAATAAAACAGCACAAGAAGTGCTAGAGCAACAAAAGGAGCTGTCAGTGCCTGAATCTGACCCGAGGCTGCTCAGGCCAGACTCGCAGAACTGCCTCTTCCACGCCGTCCCACGGGACTCGCAGAACTGCCTCCTCCACGCCGTCCCACGGGACTCGCAGAACTGCCTCTTCCACGCCGTCCCACGGGACTCGCAGAACTGCCTCTTCCACGCCGTCCCACGGGACTCGCAGAACTGCCTCTTCCACGCCGTCCCACGGGACTCGCAGAACTGCCTCTTCCACGCCGTCCCACGGGACTCGCAGAACTGCCTCTTCCACGCCGTCCCACGGGACTCGCAGAGCTGCCTCTTCCACCCCGTCCCACGGGACTCGCAGAACTGCCTCTTCCACGCCGTCCCACGGGACTCGCAGAACTGCCTCTTCCACGCCGTCCCACGGGACTCGCAGAACTGCCTCTTCCACGCCGTCCCACGGGACTCGCAGAACTGCCTCTTCCACGCCGTCCCACGGGACTCGCAGAACTGCCTCTTCCACGCCGTCCCACGGGACTCGCAGAGCTGCCTCTTCCACGCCGTCCCACGGGACTCGCAGAGCTGCCTCTTCCACGCCGTCCCACGGGAGCCTGTGAGGGGGCTTCCGCCCCTCCCTCCACGCCGGCAGAGTCCTTTCATTTTCAGAGGGGCAGTACTCTGTGGAAGCAGCTACAGTAGTTCAACTTAGACGGAAACTGCTTTCCAAGCACAGACGTATTTCAGACGAAAGACAGCAATGACTATAACGTGATGATGTAAGTTTTCCTGAATAATTTTTAACGACTTCCTAAGGCAACTTGCAAAGAGTTTAAGAAATTTAGGCATTGGAAAGCCAATGAAATAGGTAAACAATCTCCCCAAGTAACTTCTTTGAAAACTACCATTCATTGGGATGTTTTAAGTTACGGTTTTGTAGCTTGAAACATTGTTCTGTATACTATATAATCAAACTATGAGTAGATTTTTAAAATAGGTAGGTGGCTTAAATTTAAGAAGCATTTCACACCTTGTTGATCATAGTCTTGGTACGTTACATCATCTGTAGAAAAAAGAATAAAATTAAAGTTAAGTATTAATTGAGTTATTCTGTTGTAATTGCTCAGCTAAAAATACAACTTAATTTTGCCCTGGTCGGTTTTACTCAGCAGTTAGAGCATCGGCCCGTGGACCAGAGAGACCTGGGTTCGGTTCCCACTAAGGGCACGTACCTCAGTTGTAGTTTGTACCCAGCCCTGGTTGGGGTCGTGTGGGTGGCAACCACTCAGTGTGTCTCTCTCACATCAATGTTTCTCTCTCTCTCTTCCCCCCTCTTTCCCTCCCACTCTACCTGAAGATAAATGCAAAAATGTCCTCAGGTGAGAATAAATAAATAAATAAATACAACTTAATTTCAAATACAGAATTCTATTTCTTTAAATATTAATGTCTGCACAGTCAATGAAAAATGCCTGTGCCCCAAAACAACTAGAGGAAAGGGCAGGTAAATTATCTTCAAATTCCTCAAACTGACATAATGCAACATATACAAAAGTAGGGTTAGGAATTAATATCTTGTTTTCTGTGGAGTCCCTGGTACATGAGGTGAAATATGAAAAGCCTGATATCTTTTAATAATAATATTTTGTTACAAAGCAAAAAGTCTGATATTAGGTGTTAAAATTACTTCTTGGTCTCCTTTAAAAGAAAAATCACCATGTTAACACAGCATTGCAACTGTAAAACCCTAATAATGTTTAAAATCTAATGAAAATATTAATCTAATACCTGCATCATGGTACATTCTTTCATCATCATCTATTACTGGTTCAGTGGAATCTAAAGAGAAAAAACACACCTTTTTGTCAAACATGGAAAAAACCAAACACATTACGAGACATCATTCTAAAACTGTCTATAAGTTAAATTCTAATTTTTACAACTGTGTAAGATAGATATTATCATTTAATAAAATGTAAGATAAATAACGTGTAATATGCTCTCTAAGCTGAAACACAGGAAGGAGCGTACTGGGATTCACACCCAGGACTCCACTCCCTCTTCCTGCCGCGTTAACTTCCCAGTGTTCTCGCTGGTGTGTCTACAAAGGCCAGCATCCAACAATGGTTTGAAAAACACAGCTCCTTTTTTCATTTCCCCATATACTATTAAACTATATTCAGAAATTTCTACAACTACCTGAGCAACAAAAAAAGATTATGAGTATTAAGAAGAATACTGTGGAATCAGAGTGAGTCATTAACTCGGGGTTCAAACGGCCTTGGCCATGCCTCCAACAGAAACACTTATCACAGACCTGGGTTTTCCTGCTCATACATCATCTCTTCCACATCCTGATCAGAGGCCTGTGAAGCTACAAATTAGAAAATAATTAGGAAATTACTACCATGTCTCAAGTAAGAAGGATTACACTTGGTATTCAAAACAGGAAGAGCACAATTTCTAGTAATGATAGAAATGCAGAATCAAATCATAACGATGCTCAAACTCACATTTACTCACGAACAAACAGGCTCAACCTGTGCTAAATGCCCAGTACAAAGATGAGTAAGACAGTCACCACCAGAAAATAGTGGAGCTATAGTCTTATTTAGCTGATGAAAATCCAACTATATTCAGAAAAACAAAATAGGACAGACTGACACAATGACAGAGAGACAGCCGGAGGCAGCAGTGCAGGGAGCCCTCTCCCATCGCTCAGCGAGCACCTGCCACGGAGCCTGAGCGAGGACACACACATGGCCCAGCCCCCACTTGGACGCAGTACCCGAGTACTCCCACATTGCAATAAATCTTAGTGTTTACAGACACATACTGTGGCAATGACATGGGCCCTAAGTGCCGGCCGTCTGTCACGTGGTTCTACTCCAACACTGAAAGGAAACCAGCCAACACCACAGGCTTGTTACTGAGAGACGAGGCGTGGCCACACTGACTGGGGACACATAGCATATAACAATATATAATTTTGACCTTTCACTGACCTTGTTCTTTAAGACTACAAAATATGCAATTCTACTGTCTCTTTTGACCTAGTATCCCACTACTGGGAACTTACTCTCAAGAAGCAGACTTCAAAAACACAAAAACTACATTTACAAAGACATAGATATGTATGTATATATACATAGTTATGATATAATATGTAAAGTAACAATCAATAAGTATGCATTACATATTGATACCGTAAATATAAATTATTAATAAATAAACATAGACAATGTTTTCTCTCTCAATGCTCTTTTATAGGAGAAGATTCATTCTAATTAAAAAAGAATATTAAATTAAAATCTCACCTGTCTCTTCTACATGGTAACTATCTTCAGTTTCTAGAAAGAAATAACATTAAAATAATATTACTACTTTCATACAGTGGCATGCATATATACTGCATATGTATATTCTAAATCTATTCTCTTTTTTTTTATATGTTTTCATTGATTTTTTTAAAGAGAGAGGAAGGCAGAGATAGAAACACTGATGTGAGAGAGAAACATCGATCGCTGCCTCCTGCACACCCCCTACTGGGGATCGAAACAGGAACTGGGCACGTGTCCTGACCGAGAATTGAGCTGGGACCTCTCAATCCATGGGATGAAGCTCAATCCACAGGCTGGGCCTAAATCTATTCTTATTGAGTTTACCTTGAAATAAATAACTATTAAAATAAAATATGAATATATCAATTAAATGTATGCCAAACACCATCTTCCACTAGAACTAGACTAAGAAAAGACTCACACATTCTCTTCTGTAATGCATACCATAACCCCACACGTTGGCAAGCACCAAACTTGGGTTAAACAGAGAGATTATTTAGCCCTGGCCAGTGTTCTCAGTGGTTCGAGTGTCAGCCCACGGACCAAAGAGTTGCGGGTTTGATTCCCAGGCAAGGGCATGTGCCTGGGTTGCAGGTTAAATCCCTGGCCCTGGTCAAGGTCATGCAGGAGGCAACCCATCAATGTGACATCAACACACACCCCCCCCACTCTATCTGGGGTATAGGAGAAAGGATGATTTAGATAGAGTAACACAGTGACAGAGGCTGGACCCAGAAAAGGGCTTATTTCTAATCTACTTCAGATTCCATTCTAGCGTTCTATTTTCTAGAAGAAACGTGCCCTGTCTACAGGGGATACAAAGGAAGAACAGAGAAGACTTAAGTTTGGGGAGCCGAAAGGTTAGTGCGGATAACTGAACCCAGGGCCCTCCTGCTCGTGTGACCCAGGTTAATTCAATAGCTCCGTGAAGTGTAAATAGTGTTAATTTCTGAAGGCTTTTTATATGCAACTTTTAAGTTCAAATGGAATCTATATCCCAATTAAAGATTAGGTGAGAAGATAAGGTTTCTTTCATTTATGAACTTTTTACAAGTGTTTCTTCCGACCCCCAATCTGTAACTACCAACTTTAAAAATATCAAATTCCTTATGTTTTGGATTATTGTATAAGCAGCATCTACGATCCACAAACTCTGAGCAACTGTTCATCTTCCTGAGCCATCATGGCCAATGACGGGAGGGAGCAAGAGGTACCAGGGAAACGTGGACATTGTTTTACCACCACCCCTACTCAGAAATTAGAAACATTTCCCCATAGAAATCACGACGTACATGATACCTAAAGGTCTGAAGTCCCAAGGCTACCCTGTAAACACATATTTTCAATGCACAAGGCAGCTGAAATGACATATGTGTTCAAGAGCACTCTGAGTTTACATTGTTCAGAGATAATTATGAATTACATACAATTCAGTAGGTTGGTATGGAAATCAAACCATCACTTATAACACTACTTCTGTGAAAAAAGTGCATTTCCTGCTCCCAGGAAGAGGCACAATTACAAGATTTTGGAAATGCATTCATTCATAAATTAGGAACTGCTTGCTTCTAACAGAGTCTCCCAATATAGTAAATATTATGAGAATGAAATGTACTTCACTTTTTATTGCTTTTATGCTTTAAAAAGTCCTTGTGATCCTTTACCAACTGCACTGTGCAGAAGCTACTGCTGAGCTCAGCCTTCAGCCGGGACAGACACTCCGACCTTCACCTGCTCACACACAGCGGAGCAGGACTCAAGTCGAGGCACACTCTGCTCAAGACCGCTGCCCTGGACCATCACCTGGGGGGCTTTTACAGTTACCCATGTTGGGGGCCCCACTCCCCAAGCATTTCAAGTCACTTTGTCTAGGGTGGGTCACAGGTATGCTTTTAAAAGCTCTCTAGGGGATCTTTGCTGTGCCCTGGATTGTAAACTATGAGAGCTGTTGGTCCATTTTCATGGACTTGTTCATAATAAGCTCCCTCTCTGGATCCTGACCCTATGGCTCCAGATCTTCCCACCTTTGCGTGCACTGCGGGTTGACCCGATGCCTGTTTCTCATAGTTCTGTCGACCTCTCTGAACCTGGTGTAGGCTCAGCTAAGCCCTGAACCCTGCCAGGCACCTCCGTCCAGGTCTCTGTGGCTCGTGGTGCTGCATGCTGCACAGGTCCCAGGGCAACTCCGCCACAGACCGCCGATGACCACGGGGGGAGACACGGTTATCTGTGGGGTGGCGCTATCAGCCTCCCCCAGCTTCAGCACAGGCTGGTTTTTTGTTGTTGTTGTTTTTATGACTCCTTAGAAATGAAACATCCATCTCAAATGAAGAATGTTTCATTAGCATTCATTTTAAACATACAATTATATTATTTACATATTTTCTTTTTTGTTGTTGTTAATCCTCATCCGAGGGTATTTTTCTATTGAGTTTTAAATAGAGTGGAAGAGAGGGAGAGAGGGAGGGAGGGAGGGAGGGGGAGAGAGAGAGAGAGAGAGAGAGAGAGAGAGAGAGAGAGAGAGAGAGAAGCGTCGATGTGAGAGAAAGACACATGGATTGGTTGCTTCCTGCATGACCCCAACTGGGGCTGGGAATCAAACCTGCAACCCAGGTACATGCCCTTGACTGGGAATTGAACCCGTGACTCTTCAGTCCATGGGCCAATACTAACCATTGAGCAAAACTGGCCAGGGCTCGTTTATATATTTTATATAAAATGACAAAAATCAATCAGAGTATAAAGCTTGTGGCTTCCCCTGGCCAGGAGCTCAGCTGGTTAGAGCATCGACCTGATACGCCAAGGCTGCGGGTTTGATCCCTGGTCAGGGCACATACAAGGAGTAACCTATGAATGCACAAATATGTGGTAAGTGGAACAACAATAATAAACCTGTAGAAACAATTTAAAAGTAAGTGGAAGAACAAGTCAATGTTTCTCTCTTGCATGTGTGCTCCCTGCTTCTTTCTCTAAAACCAATAAATAAAATTTTTAATAAAAGTGTGGCTTAAAATCTTTTAAGAACTCATTGTCTTAAAGGACTACTTTCACAAAAGAGGTAGATATCATAAGAAGAAAGCATTTATACTTATTTAACAGGTTTCCAATAACCACAGTCGCCTCATATTAAAGCAAAGCAGAGCACAACATATATGAAGAGTTTTTATCACACACAAATTACTTTTCTATGTCAACAGTCAATAACTATAACTTACCTATAATAAACGATCCACGGTAAACCACTCAACTAATATTTAAGTAACCAGACGCACCCCTAATGTTCACTGCAGCATTAGTCACGGTGGCCAAGACAAGGAAACAACCCAAGGGCCTTCGATACATGACTGGATAAAGAAGATGTGGTACATATGCACAGTGGAATACCACTCAACCGTAAGATAAAATATTGCCATCTGCGACAATACGGATAAATCTTGAGAATGTCAAGTTAGGCAAAATACGTCAAACAGAAAAAGTCAAGAACCCTATGATTTCACTCATATGTGGGATATAAAAATGAAAAGAAGTAAACAAGAAAAACAAACAAAAAACTCACAGATGCAGACAACAGTGTGGTGGTTACCACAGGGATGGGAGGCGGGGGGTAGTGAAGGGGGAAGAGGGTCAAATATATGGTGATGAAGAAGATTTGACTTTGGATGGTGGGCACACAATGCAATATACAGATGAGGTATCATAGTATTGTACACTTGAAACCTACAACTTTTTATTAACCAATGTCATCCCAATAAATTTAATTTAAAAATTTTCAAAAACTAAAATACTAAAACAGAAGAAATGTCAACAAACTATGGTCTGTAGCCCAGATCAATGCTGCCTCTTGATTTTGTCAACTTTTACTTAAACACAGTCATAGCCCTGGCTGGTTTGCTCAGTGGTTAGAGCATCGGCCTGCAGACCAAAGAGTCTCAGGTTCGATTCCAGTCAAGGGCACGTACCTGGGTTGTGGTTTGGTCCCTGGCCCTGGTCAGGGTTGTGTGGGAGGCAAGCAATTGATGTGTCTCTCTCACATCAATATTTCTCTCTTTCTTTCTTTCCCTCCCTCACTCCCTCCCACTCTGTCTGAAATTAATGGGAAAATATCCTCAGGTAAGGATTTAAAAAATAAAATAAAAATATACAACTCAGCCACATATCCCCACTTAGGGATGGTCAAGGACTGCTTCTGAGCTACCGCGGCAATGCTGGACAGTGCCAACCACAGGGTCTGCACAGACCCCGACGTCGACCCCTGGCCGTTACAGAAAGTGTGACTCATACAAAGATAAGCATTGTGTTCTACCCGCTGTAGCTACGGAGTTTATGTCAGAACAAGAGCCTGTGACTGGTTATCAGGTAAAATAGTTCATCTTTTGTTTGAATTGTTCATAATCCATGGCCCTCTAGAAAGGAGAGCACAATAAAGCAATGTGCTGAAGTATTTCACCCACTTTCCATAAGAAATGGATATATTCTGAGTGTCCCTAAAAGTGATTTGAATCAAAATTGGGTTGTTTATTTATTTAAGGGGGGGAAAATCTTTTTTTTTCCATTTTTAAAAAATTTTTTGTTGATACCATTACAGTTGTTCCCACCCCCCCCCCCCATTTACCCACCTCCACCCAGCCCTGCCCCCTTCCCTCTGGTCATGACCACACTATTGTCTGTGTCTATGGGGATAAAAGTCATTTTAACTGAAGTTTTTAGCTTCTCCTTAAGAAAAAACAAAAACAAAACAACTCTAGGTAAAAATTAAATATTGATTTTAAAGGTATTTAAGAAACACTTAAAAAATTATAATTACAAATTGCTGGCTTTCTTTTATTCTAAAAGCAAGAACGAGTTCTACCTTCCTGAAATGTGCCAGTTTCCAGGGGCTCGATTCTGTCCTCTGCGTCACTTCCTACGAGGAAATCGTCCTCGTCCGGTTGCTGTTCTGCTGGCCCGTCCTCCTCTGGCTGCAGGTCTTCTCCTGAGAAAGGACAGTGAGCAGAGACAGGTGTACAGCAGGGCCCACGGCACACAGGCCCCTCGGAAGGACACGCACGGGCTCCTGCGGGGAGGCACTCGCCGCCCTGGGGCCCCCGCACAGGCTGGTGCCCACTCTAAAGCTCTGCTCCACGCTGGCCAAGTGCTGTCCACCTGATGGGGATGGGCCATCTCGCAGCAGCACGTGACCTCACCAAGGTCAGGAACCTCATGTAGTTTGTTCACTATACATGCCTAGCACCTATGGCCATGCGTAGCCAACGGAAGCGCTCAATAAATCTTTAATAAGAAAATAAATGAATTCATAAATATTAATATATTTGCCTCCTCCATTAGAGCAGAGAAAAGGTCACCCTGTGACCTTTCACTGAGAATTGACATAAAATCCTGTGTAACAATCTTAAATGACTCTATACCACCATTCTAAAATGAAGGCTAGGTCATCAGTATTGGGTCATGTGGATTATTCTCTGCATCTACAGGTTCTTATTGTTTAGTCTTTAAGTTTTGCAAAGATGCCCATTGTTTCTTCTGAAACTTTTATGATACACTGAACTATTCTTTTGTGTAGATGTGGACATGCTACCTTATTCCACTGCAGGGTGGTACAGCTTGCGGTGGTGGTGTGAAACCTCCTCCCCGTAGTAACTCGACATGGCTTCAAGCAGAGTATGTCCTGTGCGTACACAAACCAAAGAACCCAAGGGAACTGGTCTCGGCTGTGCAGTGCGCCTGGTGGTTCAAGTGTGGGGGCTGGAATGTATGGCTCCAGACTGAGGGTCCTCCCCACCAGCGCGGTGACCCTGAGCAAGTTACTTAACTACGCTGTGCCTAACATTTCTCTTCCATAAAAAGGAAATAATCATAGTATCTACTTGCAGCGTGGCGGTGAGGGTTAAAGGACTTAGCAAAATGCCTGGCCCATCAGTATTTAGATATCGTTGTTATCATCGTTGTTATCATTGTTGCTATACCTTTCAACATCATTCTCATCACAGTAATGACAGTATTACTATTTCTACTGCCACTGAACTGCACCCCAAGACTGCCAGGTTCCCTCTGTCACCTTGTTTTCACTGAGGCACAGGACGCTCTCAGGAGCCCATGAATCGTGCAGCCCGTTTATGTTGAGCCTACTCACGATTCCTGCCTCCGCATCCTATCCTGCACCGTTGTTTCTCCTCACTTCTGACGTTTTGCTACTCAGCAAACCAATTACCAGTGCTCATTCTTCTCCCTAATTCTACTACTCTTTTTCGTCTTACCATGTTCCTTCCTCCTCGCTCACTCATGCAGCGAGCGGGGTCCTTGCGCGAGCAGGACTTCTCTCCCTCGGCCAGCCCCGTGCACTGGAAGGTCCTGCTCTGGGCAGGAGCACGAACCACGCACCGCACGCTCTGTGCGCCTCCTGCCGGTGACACCCGGCGGGAAAAGAACAGCTTCCCCCGGGCTTACTGGGCTCAAGGCGTTGCCGGGCCTCTGCGGCCATCAGACCACCTGTGAGGCAGGGACTGTGACCCGGCTCTGAAGGACGAGGAACCTGAGGGAGGACTAAAGCCATACAGCTAACACGTGGCAGTGGAACCCCAGTAATAAAGCAGTGACGGGGAAGGGCGTCCCCTTTAGAGGTGGTCAGGGAGGCCATGTTTGGTCTGATAAGATGGAAAGACTGGATCTCTCTCTCTCTCTCTCTCACACACACACACACACACACACACACACACACACGCACCAGAAGAAGATATAACAAGTGCAAAGGCCCCACGGCAGGGATAGGTTTGCAATCACCAGGGAAAGAACAAAGGCCAGCTGGCTAGAGAAAGTGACGGGGGAGAGACGGGGCGGGATAAGGCACAGGCCACATCAAACACGGGGAGCAGAGGAGCAGGAATGGAAACAGGGACCCAACCGGACGCCACTGCAGCGGTCATGCAAGGGGGAGCGGGGACGGCTGCCACGCGCAGCGCCCGACACGCTGCAGGCAAAGCCGAGGGCCCTGGTCACGGACCCCCGAGGGCAGGAATGGAGACAGAAATCAGGGAAAACTCCCAGGCTTTTGGCTTAAGCAACTCACTGGATAAGGAGACCATTAACCGAAACATAAAAACCGAAGGAAGAGACAACACGTTAGCGGAGAGTGGGGAAGAGCTGTGAGGTGGAGAGGACGCAGGAATTCAGTTTTAGGTACATTTTAAATCTAAGACGCTCATAAAATATGCAAGTGGCGGTGAACATGCAGCTGGATGAACCAGGAGCTCAGACGAGAGCACAGGGCCACAGACACATGTTCAGAAGCGACCCAAGTAACACCGAAAGTCATGGCCTATTTCCGAAAGAGAAAGTCTTCATAAAGACGCAAACAGATCCCAGACAAAGGCTTGTGGCAAGAAGCACAGGTGCCAGACACAACGTCTCCCTTCTGTCTGAATTCCCACACCCACCCACCTCTCCGCTTCCTCTCTCCCACCTTTGTTATTATGACTAAGCGCCTGGATTCACTGGGTCCCCAACACAACACCCTCTGATCCCTGGGCAAGTCCCTCCAGCCTATCCTCCGTGCTGCAGACAGAGTGCATGACTCTCAACACCCTCCAGCGGTTTCAATTACTTGGAATCAAGTAAAAATATCCTTTCCCTTGTCAATTTCCACCCAAGACCCCCACCCCCAACTTCGGGCCATGCCGAACAACTTTCAGATCCTCTTTGGCCTGGGACAGTCTTCACCATGCCCTTTGCGCTAGCGGCCTGCTGACGTGTGCCTGGGAAGCGCTGCACCACCTCCAGGCCCCACGTCGAAAGGTCATTTCCTCATTATACCAAACTCGCTCACATCGTGGGGCATCTGCCCTGTGCTCAAGTTTCAAAAAGGACGAGGAAGGGAACGCTTGCGCTTCCTCGCACGGGCAGGACCGCGTCCCCCACTGGGATGTCACCAGCAATGCAAGGACACAGGCTCCTGGGCCTCCGCAGCCAAAGGCAAGGGCCGGCTCCCAACCACAGACGGAGCCGATGGGATGCGGCGCCTTCACCCACATCTGAGGCTGGGAAAGGCCGGGCCGTGGGCCTGCGGGAGCACAGCTGAACCCAGGGCAGGTCTGTCTGTTTTCAAGGCACACTTTTTCCTTTAGGACTACCTTTAGCTCACACCAAACTGTCGGGAGTACCAGGACAGCACTGCCCTGCCTCCTTCAGGATCCCTTCGTGAGCTACATTTCGGGGTGGTACCCTCCGCCTGTATCAAGGGAGCAGTCTCATAAAGTCCTAAAACACTGGTTTCTGGAGTATCATTTCACATTCCCTGTACAGAGGTTGACATACAAATTTTTTAGATGTAAGCGTTGGGAAAATGTTTTCTCTAAGTAGATCGTGTTTATTTCCTCTCTGGTAATAGGACTGACATAATTGAACGTTGCCCGTCTGCCCTGTGACCTCCCCGGCCAAGCAGGCAGTGAAATTCCAGGGCCAGCGGCAGGCCCTGCAGCCCAGGACAGCTCGCTGGCTGTGTCCTATTTCCGCCCTCCTGTCCTTGCCACCCCTCCTTGGGGTACCACTGGTCTCCTTTCGTTTATTCTCATGTATTCCTACTATTTCTTACTAGGTGTATGCAATAAGTTCCTTTTTTTTTTTTTTAATCCTCACCCAAAGATATTTTTCCATTTACCTTCTGATGGGGTGGTGGGGGCGGGGGAAGAACATCGATGTGAGAGAGACATATCGACTGGTTGCCTCCCACACGACCCCAACCAGGGCTGGGGACCAAACTTCAACCAAGGCATGCGCCCTTGATTGGCATCAAACCCATGACTCTTTGGTCCAAGGGCCAATGCTCTGGCTGCTGACCCAAACCAGCCAGGGCAAAAATATGTATTTGCGTTTTTTTTTAATTTATTTCTTAGAGAGAGAGGAAGGAAGAGGGAGACAGAAACATCGATGTGAGAGAGAAACATGGATTGGGTGCCTTGCAATAAATTCCTTAACGGTAGGGTGGAGAAAATCAAGTTCAGTGCTATTTCAAAAATATCTGCCTTTCAATAACTTTAAAAAAAAAACCACTCAATTATTATTTAAATTTTAAAATAGTGTCCAAGTCATTTAATCATGTAATTATTTTAGTAATGCATGAAACAAACAAAAAAAAAACAGATTCTAATTCATACCATGTTCTGTGTATACTGTTTCGTGAAGAGAGGAATGCATTTCTTCTTGTATTTCATCTTCAATATGCTGAGGTCCTAAAATAATTACAAAACATAACTAAGTAGGAAAGACCTAGACATCAATGTAGAACCTGAAATACGGCATCCAGGTATGTACACACGTTCACATGACTGTATCTGGCTAAGCAACTCTGCATCCTTCCCAACAGTTCACTACTTTTTTTTTCTATGTTGGCAAATGTGGCGGGTATTTAAAATTGATTTTATTTTGACACAGCAGATATAAATTTTAAGACTTCATAAGATTTCAAAACAAGAAAACTAATTTGGGTTCAGATTTTTTTTTAAAAGACTACCACACTCAGAGCAAAATTATTTCAATTTCTAAATAACAAAATTCACACTAATAATGGAATAAAGACAATGGGGAAGGCAAAAAGAAAGGAATGGGAAAAAACGCTCAGAATGTCTTCCCTGACAGTCGGGAAGGGCCCTCAACAGTTATGAGGACTGCGAGGTCAGGGTTGGCTGACCACTCCCAGAAGGTGCCATCAATCATGACTAGCAGACCTTACATTATAAGCAATAGTTCTTTCAGCTTTGGAGAACCCCATCTGACGGTCGGACTCGTAGACCGAAGCAGGTGTCAATTATAAACAGAACCACATTAGCAATGACATTCTGACACCACTGTGGCGCTTATCGGATTATCGGGTTTATTGCGACACCACACAACAAACCAGGTGCTATAATTACACTGACACGATTATAAGTTTCTAACAAACATCACCTATGTTCCGTAAATAGAAGTAGCGCTAGACATGGTATCACGAATGCTGTCCTATGAAATAATGCAGTGACTTCAGTTATATTCACGAGCTCATCTTCAATGACAAGGACAGACTAAGATCACTGGAATGTCACATAGGAAAATGTTTCAGAATCTATTTTGCTAATCACACCACAAAACCATTTCTAAAGCCTGCCAACCTCTCTTCTTCCCTCATCTCTCACGATGCCTGACAGCTTCCTAGCTCAGCTCCCAGCTCCGCAGCCTTCCAGAGAACAGAAAGCGAGCAGAGGGAGGGTGGCCGGGGGCTCCTCCGCTGAACCTTTCAATGGCTTCCTTTGCCTGAGGCGATGGCTCCAGAACAGAATCTGAGCCCCCGGGTTCGCCTCACAGCCTGGGGACCCAGCCACAGCACCAGCACCGGGTGAACTTGGCAGCGCGGTGCCCTTTCGTCCACCCACTGATTCTGCCGGGCTCCTCCTTCGCCCTGGGGAGGCCAGGAGGAGCAGAAGCCAGACAGAGACTGAGTTCAAGACTGACGGGAAAGCAAGGTGAAAAAGCAACCACAGACTCTTCTTTCAAAGTCTGGCTAGTACAACAGAGGGGGTCTGGAGAGCAGAGAAAAAGGGCTGTAGGAATCCAGAGAGGGCTTATTTTATTGTACTTTAATGAGAGGCGTGTACCTATGTTTATGGAATAGGTGAGAGACAGAGAAGAGAGAGGCTAAGTCAGACAAGAGAAAGGGTGAGAAGGCAACATTTAAATGAAACCAAATACTGCCAAGAAGAGGTGGTGATAAACTCAGATTTAGGAGAACAAGTTATCAGTAATATGCAAAGAGTAATATTAAGAAATTAAAGAGTGAAAGCAAACGGCACATTTCAGAGTATTAGCTCTGAAAAACTTTTTAAATTATAAATTTATTTAGCACAAAGTAAAATCTAGGATGCTAAATCCAAAACACATATTTAAATTATGTCTTTTTAAAAAATCACTCTTGCCATGGTATGCTTATAGCAATTCCACAGGAATGAGAGGGAGACAGTACATTCTCCTACAGTTATGATTTGGACAAATATAAAAATAAAATCAACAAACTGATCTTAAAAGGAAGGAAATATTATTCATCAAAGTGATAAAATCGGGACTTAAATTGCTAGTAAATATATGGTGTCATACCCAACACTTCCACTAGGTGGCAAATGAAACCAAATATTTGAGGACTGAGTAAATGAAAAATGTGCAGAAATTAAATACTATTTTGTAATAAATATCTCAGCATAAATAGAAAATAATAGTAATGGATTCAAATTTCATTTGCCACCTTATTAAGAGATTTTATGAGCTTTCATCCATGGGTGACCAAGAAGATACCTGAACTGATCTAGGAATCATGAATATGTAAAACAGGCTTCACAGACACATGAAGGTGGGCAGCCCTCTGACGCAGAAAAGATATTCTCATATTAAGATTGAGAACTCAGCAGACCTACTCGACTGTCTGTGTCTAACTTACTTTCCAGGTGGTAAGGCACAGTAGTCCTGGAATTAGAATCGAGAAACATGGCGTTAGTTCCTGATGGCTGTGTGACGCCATGAGCACCTGTCTGTGCCTTCGATTCTGGATCTCAGAAATTAAAACCATCCTGTGTAAATTTTTACTAGGAAACAAAATTAACTTTACTATAAAGTTTAGGAGAAGAAAAACGATTTCGCAATTCTGTAACCATTGTGAAACAAATTGTGGGTGAAACGTGATTGTGGATACTGGGAACTGGGACGAACAGATACACAGCAGGCTAAGGGGCACTGGGTCGGAATGCCAGGAAAGCTTACCTGTCCCCTCAGGAACCTGCTCCTCCTGCCCACGGAATGTCTCAGCCTCTTCGGGTCGGACTGTTGGTTTTGAAGCAGATCTTTCTTTAAGACCTGCATTTTTATTCACAAAGTTAACTCACGTTGTGTTTTTGTTTTTTCTCTCTCTTTTTTTTTTTTTTAACATGTTAAACCAGGACGAATAATATTTTCAAACACTTCATCAACAGTGCAAGCAATTCAATGTTTACAAGACTTTATACATGAAAACACTCATAGGCTTAAAAACCGAAGTATGAAAATAGTTGGCTCTTTAACTTCACATGGGCCTTTAACACCTCCTTACCTCAGATAATCTTTCACTTAAAAGAAAAACCCACTGTTGAAATGTTCATGAACCTCTAAAATATAATGTCACGTCTGAACTTGCCAAAAGCAGTTCAGTGGGAGTTCAAGCTCCCCAAGTTCCATAACTGACTAATGAATTTCTAAGTCCTGGACTCTGGATTCAGCAAAAAGACAGTGAAGATATACTTGGATTTTCTACTGCTGTTTGTGAGCACACTGATTTTGACTTATATGTAAATTATTTATTCTTCGTGAAAACTGTAGTTCAAAGTGAGAAGAAATCATATATGTAACTATTCACAATCTTGTGTATGGTTACACAAGCAATCATATTATTCCATAAGAGCTAAAAGATACAGATTTTAAAAAGTTTTTTTTTTACTGTCTTAAAAAATATATAACAGGGTAAATTAACATGAAAGTTGATTTTAAAGTCAACACCAGTCTAAAATGTGTTCTACTGAATTAGTTCTTTGGTATGTTATAGGTAGAACATTAAAATATATCCTCCATTAAACGCAACTATTCGAAAGCTAAACTAGCTGGGTACAGCGTGTGGATCCCCGGTCCGGACCCCTGGGCTCCTCGACACCCCACTGAGAAGCGAGCGTGCTGTGCCTATCAAAAGCCTGAAGTAAAAAGGCCAAGAATTGAGAGGCACTTTTCTAATCTTAAGCACCTGTATAAACTCTTAATGTACATGTACTATTTGGTGCAGAAAATTCTCATTTCAATGTCTTTTACTCTTTTTTGACTCTGTATTTTTCCTTATCATCCCCTTTTCTTTACCTCTTCATTTTTCCCTCATGCACAAACATACCCCACCTTCCTCTCCCAAATCCTAAAGATGCTGAGACAGAGATACACAGAAACACCCCTCATCATTTTATTTCCAATGTTCCATCCATAACGATAAAGTGACTTCTAACCATAAAGTACATTCCGAAGGGAACTGCCACAAATCCTCTGGTGCTAACGGTAGCTCAGTTCCAGGGGCTGGAGGGCGAGGTGAAGGCCTACTACGACATCCCATGTTGAGGCCGGATTCCGGGCTGAAAGCACCCCATGCCTTTCCAGGGCGTAACCCAGCCTTACACCTCTGACGTCAGTGGTACAAGTGTGGAGGCAGTAACCACCGAGTTCTGCTGAATGAACAGGGCAAACCTGAGGAATCTTCACAATCATGCGCTTGGTTGTTGCTCTCAGCACCTCAGAGAACACCCGCGCAGAGCAGGCGCTCCATCCACACGTGCTGAAGGGCTGACCACACCCCATGGTGTGGTGACTCTAACGTTACAGAGATTCTGTGGGGCCAGGCTCCGTGGCTGCACCACAGTGGCCCCAGGCTACAAAAGTGGGAACCGGAATTCATATAGATTTTCCCACTGCGGTTTACCACACATATTCGTATCTGTGCTCACACTCACTGGGTACAGCAACACAACCCTAACTTGCCTATGACAGTCCCAGCTGACTGATATTTGTTGTCCTGGTAAAATTATTTTACTTTCAAAAGTATCTCGGTTTAAATGCAAAATTTCAGGTGATTCTTCACTAATCCCATATGTAGTGGGTTTTCCAACTGTGTACCATAAGTTCAGTAAGCAATAAAATTTTCTTACCAAACAATAAAGATCTTTTAAATCCCCCCTATGGAATTTTGAGAGTTTCTTTTGAAAAAAACAGTTTCTTTGCTGAAGTGTTCGAAAACTACTAGTACACTAATATTCAGACATAAAATGCCCCTCAAGTCGGCTTTCTCAATCACTTGGGAGTTGCCTCTACAATTGAAATTGTAAACCGTGAAAAATGACAGGAGAAAGCAAAAGTATATAACAAGAGAAAATACTGAGCAGTTTTCTTTTCTGTCCAAAGTGGCAGATGAATTGTAAATCCGTCGATACCTGGTCACAGCTATTTTGCAGAGGTGAAATAACACAAAACCAAACAGTACTGTAAACACCGAAGCAGCTGAGGGGCATGTTCGCACTCTCCTCCCCTGAACCTCTACAGCTCCTCAAATTTAACGAACACACACTCTAGACTAATTCTTATTGCTCTGACAACCCATATGGAAGAATCAGCCCTGGTGTTTCCCTTTGTTTGTTTGCCACCCGAATCCATTTTGGTCCATGAATAAGTGTTCTTCAGAGAATAGGGTTGAATCCGTATGTCATATACAATTTTGGGAAAAAATTAAACAAGAAAAATAGAACACATATAAGGTCAATTCACAAGGAAAGGGTTTTCAAACTGGATTTATTATGAGGTAGACATGGCAAGCACTGAAGTATTCAAAATTACACTGTGAAACAAATGCATCAGCTCGGCTGTTCCTGGGACTGCACATGAGAACACACGACTCACACAGGCGTGAGCAGAGGGGCCCTGACCCAGCTGGGCAGCAGGGGGGCAGGAGGGGGGCAGGAGGTGGCTCAGCACTGCTTTGTCCCGGCTGCTGTCGGCTCCCAGCCGCTCCTTGCACAGAAGCAAAGGACGCCTTGCTTTCCTCTTGCTCTCCTCTCTCAGGCGTGAGGAAATCTTTCCCAGAAGCCTCCAGCAATCTTCCCTTTCGATTTTTTTTTATCTTTATTGTTTAAATTATTTAACATTAAAATGTATCTTTAGTGTTGAAAGTATTACAGTTGTCCCTTGTGTTTTCCCCCAATGACACCCTCCCTTCTCCCACCCCCACCCCCACCACACTGTTGTCTGTGTCTATCGGCTGTGCATACACACATATTAGTCCTTTGGTTTATCTCTTCCCGCCTCCACCACCCCTTCCCTCTGAGATCTGTCAGTCTGTTCCCTACTTCCATGTCTCTGGCTCTGTTTCATTCGCCAGCTTACTGTGTTCATTATTTTCCAGGAATAAGTGAGATCATGTGATACTGGTCTTTCTCCGGCTGGCTTATTTCGCTTAGCATAGTACTCTCCAGGTCGTCTCAAAGGGCGAGAGATCCTTCCTTCCTACAGCTGCATAGTACTCCATTGAGTAAATGCACCTCAGCTTCTTCACCCACTCACCCACCGATGGGCACTTGGGCTGTTTCCAGATCTCAGCTGCTATAAACAGCACTGCTATCTATGGATCTGCCACTTGACCAGTGAGCCCACTTCCAGGAATATATCCTAAGAAGCCTGAAACACCCACCAGAAAGAATACATGCACCCCTACGCTCCCCTTCAGTTTCAATGGTCAAAACCAGAACCACTTCCACTCCCACCCTGGCTGGAGGCCCGGGAGGCCCGCACTGCCCGGCCGTGAGTGCCCAGCGCTGGCTGAGTGCCCAGCCAGCCGCACAGCCCCTCTGCAGCTTAGAGAACAGATGAACATTCTTCAGACATACCTTTTAGTCCTCTGAGCGTATCAGATAAATTTTTAAAAATTAAATCATGTTTGTATTTAAGAAATACACAAGTTTCCTCTAATTTTAATTAAAAATGAAAGAAGTTATAAAAAGTAAATGAAATGAGCACTTTAAATCAACCATTCATACCAATTTGACTACCTCACACAATGCCCTTGCTCCTAGCTCATGCACTGACCACATGGGAAGGGCGAGCGCACCTCCTCCCTGTGTACGCACCTCCTCCCCCTGTACGTGGGGAAGGGCGAAGGGCGAGCGTACCTCCTCCCTGTGTACGCACCTCCTCCCCCTGTACGTGGGGAAGGGCGAAGGGCGAGCATACCTCCTCCCCGTGTACGCACCTCCTCCCCCTGTACAGTGGGGAAGGGCGAAGGGCGAGCGCACCTCCTCCCTGTGTCCGTGGGGAAGGGCGAGCGTATCTCCTCCCCTCCCCGTGTACCTGAGGAAGGGCGAGCGCATCTCCTCCCCGTGTACCTGAGGAAGGGTGAGTGCTCCTCCTCCTCCCGGTGTACGTGGGGAAGGGCGAGCGCATCTCCTCCCCGTGTCCATGGGGAAGGGCGAGCGCATCTCCTCCTGTGTGTCCGTGGGGAAGGGCGAGCGCATCTCCTCTCCGTGTCCGTGGGGAAGGGCGAGCGTATCTCCTCCCCTCCCTGTGTACCTGAGGAAGGGCGAGCGCATCTCCTCCCCGTGTACCTGAGGAAGGGTGAGTGCTCCTCCTCCTCCCGGTGTACGTGGGGAAGGGCGAGCGCATCTCCTCCCCGCGTCCATGGGGAAGGGCGAGCGCATCTCCTCCTGTGTGTCCGTGGGGAAGGGCGAGCGCATCTCCTCTCCGTGTCCGTGGGGAAGGGCGAGCGCATCTCCTCCCCAAGTACCTGAGGAAGGGCGAGCGCATCTCCTCCCCGTGTACCTGAGGAAGGGCGAGCGCATCTCCTCCCCGTGTCCGTGGCAGCTCAGTACTCATCACATTGTGCAGAGTGCACTTCATTCAACAACTACTTAGCACCTGCTATGCAAGGCTCTATTCTGCAGAAAACAAACACACGAAACCCCTACCTCTCATGGACAGGGAACAATTAAAAATATAAGACACAAAATATGGAGAGCATGTGGGATGGGAAGATGGCATGGGGACCAGGGAGACCGTGGGCGCCAGCCCCCAGGGAGAGGCGGGGCTATCTGCACTAAATTGCAGAGAAAAGGACCCACTGATAAGACTTGAACAGATTCCTGATAAGATTTGAGCAGGTACATCATGGCTCGAGTTACACTGGTGAAGAGTGTTCCAGGTGAGGCTTTATAGCTACCAGGACAGAATTCCCCAGGGGGAGGTCCTGGGGGCCAGGAAGACCCAGGCAGTTTGGGCAGCCGGAGTGAGCAAGGGCACGAGACTCAAAG